GGAACACAAGGGTTTTTGTAAATTCAGGTGCGGATTTGTATGGAAATTCGTATTTTTTTAAGATTTGAAAATTAGTATTTAAATCATTTAGAAACAAAGAAATACGTGTTTTTGCGATTTGAAAAATTTAACCCGGTCCCGACAGAGGGGGCAAAATGTGACATGAAAATTTGTATGAAAATCCGACAATTTTGGAGGTAGAAGTATGAATATAAATATACTAGCATTGCCCGCGGCTCCGCCCACGTCCAGATGACCAAAAACCAAATTCTTAAGTTTTACATATTAGTATACTCTTACAATGCAGTTTTTGTATTTTTTTCAGAAATCATATACTTTCCCGCGGTAAAAAGTATCCGATAGACAGAGTATCAGACAGACAGATAGACAAAAATTCTAAAAACTATAGAATCGGACTCTGTATCGATAATAATGTCTATTTCAATAAGATTTTCCAAAAAATATTTAATGTACAGATTCGATTAGTTACAATTTTATTATATGTATAGATGTATTTATATTATAACTCTTCATTTAATAAGAAGCTTCGAGGAGGGGTCAAATGCTATTTTAACATAAATTATATTTCGTTCAAAGTGATATGCAGAGAAAAAGAGAGAATAAAATAACGTTTCAGATTTTTTATTTCATGTACCAAAAAATGTTACCTGTTGTAGTTGTGGAAAATGAATCTAAACATTCTATCTAGTGCTATTATAATTAACATATAGAGTAATTTAATATTGAATTCGATTGAGACTTAAACGAAATTAATATTAATAATAATAATCTATTAATCATAATAATTATATCTTATCTATTATATTAAATTAGAGCTTAAATAAATCCAAATGATATTGATTGTGAAAATAATATTAAATCTTATGACTTTACCCAGATTGAGATAACATAAACCCCAGTGGGAATAGATTCCGCAACCCGTATTACCTCGTTGGTCGGTAGGGTCAGGGTCAAGTAGGCATTGATATTTTTTAATGAATTTTTAGTGGAAGCTCAAAATTGCAAAGTTGGTAGTGTTATATCCCCATAACTAAAAATACGTAAAGCCATTGGTGCTGTCTGATCTCTTACTACGCCTGTAGCTCTCGTAGGCACACCTCAAAACATGCTTGCTAGTATTCATCTTACCTCGGTATGCCTCGGTGACCATCGCATGCTCCCTGTTGTTCCTCGTCAGTCGTCGGTTTTGCGGCTGAGTTATACGGTTTGAGTGATACTCGCATACTCGCCTACGCGAGTTACGCATTACTGTAAATTCTCGTTCTTCATTTTACTGCAAACATTCGAGCCGTGAAGACGTAAACATTGAATTCTATTCAATTAACAACAAATTGTTACCATTAAATTGTGAATTAATTTATATAAATTATATATTACTGTATTTTATGGTAAGTGTATGAACGTATTTATAGTTTGCAACCATAATAGAAACCAGTATGTACAATGTCCATGGTCGTATATGCTTATGAATAGATTTCTAGCGCCGAGCTCTCGACGAGAGCACTTGTACGGAAATGTACAGCCTTAATATCTTTTGCACAGATGGTAGGCTCATTGAGATCGGCTGACTGAAATCGGTCAGAAGGATTTCTTTATTTATTATTTCATATTTTATTTTTAGCTTTTTGCAAATTTTAAACATGTTATTTTACGGATATTTGGCAGTTGTACATAAACTCAAATCAAAAATAAGGTACACCGGACACAAAATCTACTCTTATTATATTTATACTTGATGCCTGAAATTATAATTAACTTTATAATAATGCTTCTTTGTTTTTAAATATTTAGAATTACACCATACTGCTTTGTAAGAAATGTAGACTTTAGACAATAATTGAAAATCATTAATAATTTAATATTATTACGATAAGAAATAAGAATTTTAAAACAATTATTATAAACGCTGCGACAGGACGATCTTCCAACTCAATTTCACGTTAGATATTATTCGATTATTATTATTATTTTCTTATTTCAGAAAGCACGTATTTCCAGCAATAATAACACAACGATTTTATTTCTTTCTGCACTTTCGAATTAATATATCGAAATGTGTCTCTCAACATTTATACAAAACTTATATTTGCCTAGTATAAAATGAAGTCGCTTCCGCTGTCTGTTCGCTTAGATCTTTTAAACTACTCAACGGATTTTAATGCAGGTTTCAGCAATAGATAGAATGATTCAAGAGGGAGGTTCATATGTATAATACATGCATATTATAGTACAGAAAAGCCGAGAAATTCAAAGATTTGTATTTCATACTAACCGTTAAAACGAACTTTAGGGATTTTGATATAATTTGGTATGGTGATAGCTTGTTATCCGGGTCAACATATAGGATACTTTGTACCGCGGGAAAAGATCTCATTTCTGGGGAAAATTCAAAAATTGCATTGTAAGAGTATACTAATGTGTAAAACCTAAGAATTTGGTTTTTGGTCACCTGAATGCGTGCGGACCCGCGGGCAATGCTAGGTAGTAATATAATAAATAGTTATAAGATATCAATAGTCAATACAAGCTATTAATTATATCTTAAATAAATAGAAGATAGCACAATAGATTTTGGATAAATCATTGGCAGTTTTGTTTGGCTTCGTGCATATTACTACGAGTATATATTTCAACCATTACATTTAATCATATCTAGCTCATACTGCCTTGTTACTTTACTTTGATAGCTAGTATGCAATATATATATATATATATATATATATATATATATATATATAGATAAAGCCAGGTCCTCAGTGTCACCGGTTGTATGGAATTGTCTTCCCGCTGAAATTTGAAACTGAAGGTAATAGAGAGTGCACCTGTGTCTGAGCACACACTTGTGCAATTCTTCTGTGTCATCGACATAGACCGTTATCATTATCTTACATGTGAATTTATTTTAAATTAAAAAATATTTTAGCAGTCACATTATGTACCTTTATCGTTTTTAGTATTCTATACATATAATAAAATTGTAACTAAGCCGAATCTGTACATTAAGTATTTTTTTGGAAAATCTTATTGAAATAGACATTATTATCGATACAGAGGCCGAATCTATAGTTTTTAGAATTTTTGTCTATCTGTCCGTTACCGTATCACATAAAAACAACAGGAGGGACTTTGATGAAATTTGGTATGGTAATAGCTGGTTATCCGGGTCAACATATAGGATACTTTTTACCGCGGGAAAATGTCTCATTTCTGAGAAAAAATACAAAAATTGCAATGTAAGAGTATAATAATATGTAAAACCTAAGAATATGGTTTTTGGTCATCTGAACGCGGGCGGAGCCGCGGGCAATGCTAGTTATACAATAAAAGTGTATTGGAATCAGCATAAAAATATTCTTAAATTGAGTTATTAGCACATTTAGTGGGCAAGCTCATTAAAAATCCATCACTAAATCTCCGTAATATATTGCGTGACATCCCCATAACCTTATCGTAAACCAGTATGAATAGCACGTAGAATGAGAATATGCCAGTAAATTTGTCCAAAAACCAAAGTTGTATATCAATAATGACAATAATGAGCATCTGTTTATGAACAATTATGTTATAATTGGACGCTTACAGTCGTCGTATACCGAGAGCTCTCCACATAATTTCCACTGAGCAAAATTCGTCGATGTTCAAATTCAGAGCACTTCTCTCGAATCATTTAACGCTATCTTAAATATCTTTAATTGCTATAATGCCTTCTAGTAACAGCTTCGCAGGAGTAAACAAAAAATGAAAACTGGAAAATGGAAATAATTATCTCTATTTATATTTTTTTATATAATTTTAGCCTGCCTCGGGCTAGCATCCATGGCTGCACACCCGGAGGCCCTGGGTTCGAGTCCCGGGTCGGGCCAAGTTTAGTTATTGAGTCTTTCTGTATAGTAAGCCTCAGTAACAGCCCAGAGTTGGGAAGTTGGCGGTGTTTCACCCCCGTGCCTCCTAGAGCACGTAAAGCCGTCGGTCCTGCGCCTTAACTCTTACCGGTCGTGTCGAGTGGTCGTCCCACCGGAGTATGAGAGTGACAGGAATAGAAAATGCACTTGTGTCTGCGCGTACACTTGTGCACTATAATATGTCCTGCGCAGTTGGCTAGTCTCAATAAGATTGGCCGCCGTGGCCGGAATCGGTCAGGAGAACATCACCATAATTTTAGCCAAACATTCTCTCTCTCTTTCTCTCTCTCTCCTTTAAAATTGTTATATTATTATCCTTGTACAGTTATTTTATATTAGATAGCCAAGTCTATAAAGAAAATAAATGCAATTTATAAGTTTGATGTTCGGTATAAGTTTCTGTATTTTTAATATATCGTCTTACAGTGTTACAAAACATATGACATTATTTCGGCATTCATAACAATTTCATATAATCGAATCTATTTTAAATATTATTTAATAAAAACTACTTAACATATATTTAAATTTATTGACATTTTTGTTTTAAATTACTTAAGAATTTGTAAAAACTACCCAATGTAAGGACTAGTAGGACTTAATTTTAAGTAATTTATGTAAATCTTACTAGTCGAACTTGCTTGAAATATTACCGAGAAAATTTTCTATAATCGTAGATCTATCAGTATCAATATCAATTATTTCATCGTAACTTCTAACTCTCTGGAATGTGCACACACTCTTATACTTACATGTATTGGGCATTGTTTACGTGATAAATATTTTCCTATAGGTACTACAAAAACGTTTCCACAACAAAACCTTTCATCTGGGGTATCTATCGATCAAACAATACACGATATCATATCGGTCAATTGATGACCTGATGTCTACTTGTAAAAGATCGATGACTCTATCAAAAGTATAAGTAAATATGTGGTTATAGACACAGATTTTTATTATAAATTAAATTTGAGTTCTGTGTAATATCACTAGCCTTTCATATTATATTAGTTTTTTACTGAACTCAGAAATCCTATAGTATATTTTAATGGTATTTTATGGGTTATTGCATAAATGAAACGAAAATATTTTATCAGACCTGACTTTGGTATTGTTGGTAAATATATCGATATTAACAATAATATTTTTTTTACCTAGTTACGGAACCCTAATCCCACGAATATGCTGACATATCAAATAAATGTACGTTTCCCAGGCGACCACCGCAGAGTTCCTCGAATTAGTTTTGTAATGCCGCATTGTTTTAATTTAGTAATTTTATTAATTGTAATACTTTTCCAATCACTCTTTATTCATACTTCGAGTAAAGACGTCGTTAGTTTTAAGATATATAATTATTGTATTAATGTAAAATTAATAAATAATTATTAATTATTCGGTTTTTTTTCGACCTCCTGACTGCTGCAAACGTAATTGGCGCAGTCGGTAGGATTTTCGCGGGCCGGTTCGCGATCGGTCTAAATTAATTACTCGATAATTATCACGTCGCGTGCCGCCCGGGTGACTACCAAGCACCGTTCGAGAATCCAGAATCTACGGACCTGTGGCAGCCGGGAGTGGAATCCAACAATCGATTCAACTGAAAAGAGACCAGATAATGCAGTTTATGTGAGTACATAAGAATTGTTCTCGTGTTGCTCCTTTCTAGACCTAAGCCTATCCATAAGCTACCAAAATTTTCCATCCTAAAGCATCTAGGATCCGAGAGCCTTAATCTAGGCAGGCCCGTCGGTTAGGTATAGATAGCATAAGAAATATTAATTCGGAAGAAATTATAAATTCAAATTTAGATTGTAGTCCTTCTAATTTAATTAATTTAGTTAATATGTCTCACGATCCGGATATCATATTTAAGGCCCTCCGCCTTGTCCCGGAATTCGACGGGAACCCAAATGTTTTAACTAGATTTATCCAAATTTGTGACCATTTAGCGATCCAATATCTAAGCGACTTACCAGGTAGTGAATTTTCTAACATTTGCCTATTAAATGGAATTTTAAATAAAATAACAGGCACAGCAGGAAGCAAAATTAATTCAAACGGAATACCCGACAGTTGGCTAGGAATTAAAACACTTTTAATTAATAACTTTTCCGATCAAAGGGATGAAACCGCCCTATACAATGATCTCTCCTTAGCCACACAGGGTAATAGAAGCCCTCAAGAATTCTATGACCATTGTCAAAATTTGTTTAGCACGTTAATGACGTACGTTACACTGCATGAGACACTATCCACCACTATCGAAGCAAAACGCGATTTGTATAAAAAAGTAACTATGCAGGCCTATGTTCGTGGTCTTAAGGAACCATTAGGGTCCCGCATTCGTTGTATGCGACCACTAACAATAGAAAAAGCTCTTGAATATGTACAGGAAGAACTGAATACTATGTATATGCACAGCCGTTACGAGGTTTCAAAATCTAACAAAACCGTAACCACTATACCCAACGCTACTCACCACACATTCACACCACGCATATTTCCACCAAGTATAGGACAGACACCATCTAGACCTAACACACAGCCTTTTAAATTTAACAATGAACACCAGCACCCTAGACAACCCACACACACACAAAGAATATTCGGTGCACCACCTCCGAACTACAACCCTAACAGTCACATGTTTAGGTTACCACCTCGAAATAATATTACACACAGGCCTAATCAAGGCAATGAATTTCCCAGACCTATGAGTGGCGTGAGCCACTTTGTGCCTCGACCACTGCCACCAACACAACATACACTTACAGGACATAATTGGCAAAAATACGGTAATCCTCCCCCAAGAAATTATTTTAAATCAAGAGAAATGAATTTTAATATTTGCGAAGACGATTACGACCCGTACGATTATTACACAGACTTTGAATCTTATTACAACAGTGACGAATACATGGAATATCCCTATGACTATGAGACTTATTCCCAAAACTATAACGATAATCCCACTACGTCACGAATAGAAACCAATAACGATAGTACACTTGACAATACTGAACAGGATTTTCAGAAAATTTCCAAATCCGACACCTTAAAATAGAAATAAATCTACATACACAACGTCACCTCCATATATTCAGATATTATCACCACCATTAAAATTATTAATAGATACGGGAGCCAACCAATCCTTTTTAAGTCCAGCAGTTGTAGAAAAATATTTGTATAATTTTCCTTTAAACTACGATCCGTTTGAAGTATGTAATGTTCATGCCAAAACTAGAAGTAACTATTCAATAACTATACCAAGCTTTAATGAATTTAATGACCCGAATAATATAACATTTTATATATATAAATTTCATGACTTTTTCGATGGACTTATAGGAACTGACTTATTAGACAAATGGGAAGCAGTAATAGATTATAAAAATAAAACTTTAATTACCAAAACTGCTTCAAACCCCATACACGTACACGATTCCCGTAATCAAAATTTATACGAAGATATAATTCCAGCAGGTCAATCGAAATTGTTAAAAATCCCTATTAATATGCACGACGGCGAAGCATACGTAAAAGAACAAAAAATTTCAAATTGCGTAATTAGTGAATGCCTTACGTCAGTCAAAAATAGCAGGGGTATTGTAGAAGTTAAAAATCCCAGTAGGAATGATGTAATATTTTCAATGGACCGAGCCGTCTCTGCTGAAATTAACAACATAAATTTCACTTGCACTGAACAATCCCGACGTGTAAAAGACGTTCTGACACGACTTCGTACAGAGCATCTTAACGTTGAGGAACGTAAAAACTTAGAACTTACTTCGGTTACATATAGATTATAGTGATCTTTCAGAGGAGAGAGACAGATTAAAATCAATAGTAGTTAGTTTTGATGAGTGTGCGGTGGAGTATGAACAGGCACTGAAGCGGATCACCACACTGGAGTGCGAGCTGCGAGATGCACAAAAATATATCTCTGAGCTGGAAGTGAGTGCCCATCAAGCAACAGCACTGCACACTCATAGCTTGTTCGAAGAGTTAGTTGAGAACGCTCCAGAGTTGGTTGATGTTACAATTGAAAACCCGGTAACTATAGATCTTACAAATGATACCTTACCAGCACAACGGTTAGACAATTGTAGCAACAATAAAATAAACTAAAAAAGTACATAAAAGTAAATAAATTAATAAAGAAAACAAAAAAGATATTAAGTAAAAACAAATGTATTTCCAAAATATATAAAAATAACAGTTCACTATTGTCAAAATTTAATGTTTGTAAATTGGAATTGGAAAATATAAGCCAGAGATATGAGTCTGACACACAATTATTAGAATTACACATAGCCCAGTTGCAAACTTCCTTAAGAAGTATTACTGCAAAGTATGAAAGTAGTGAGAAAATGTTAAATGAGTACCAACTGGAGATGGATGAACTACTAAAGTTATCTAAGTATAACTCTGAAAGATTTGACTCACTCACAAACAATTGTATATGTGAATGTAAACAACTGAGTTCTCCACCCCCGGTCAATACTCCCCCATTTCAGGGAATATTGTGTGACAGGACTGATCTCTCTACTGTTGATAGTTCCCTCCAACATGGAAACACATATATGTACAGTGATGAAATTGGAAGGAATATGGGCACCTATTTATACTCACAATTTGATACAAAAGTATCAAACAGCTGTTTACCAAATTGCTGTCTTTCTGAAATTATTTCACAAATTCATAAAGACAGCAAAAATTTCAATATACAAAGTAATTTAATAATTTTCATAGGAAATAGGGGTAATGTAAACAAAATAGAATTGTTAAAATGTTTAGAATATTTGAATAAGCTAAAAGTTAATAAAATTGTAATGTTTACTTTACCTTACTGTAACAAGTTGCCACAACATGAAAATAATCTTAGATATAAGTATAATATGACATTGTACAATTCATGTACTTACAATTCGAAATTCAATGTTATTGATTTTAACAAATCATATGCTAATAAATATTATTATAAGTGGACTGATAGTAGGTATTCCCTACCATCTTTTATAAAACAACAGATAGCTATGTCGCTATCTTATTATTTTAAAACTTTAGCTAAGAATTTGGCTATACAAGAAGCTCCTATTGAGCTATGCAGTAGTAATAGTAATATTTTGAATGTACCACAGAGTACTTTAAACTACAAAAAAAGACAATAGAGATCTCCTCTAGCCCAATATTAACAGATAATAATATTTATTTAAAAAACAAAAAAGTATGTAATAGTATTCAATATATCAATCTGGTGCATCAGAATATTCAATGTTTGAGAGGTAAAATATTAGAAGTAGAATTATTTTTAAATAGTTTTGATATTAATATATTCTGTGTTACTGAACATTGGTTGAAAGTTCATGAAATCATGTTTAATTTCAGTAACCACCAGGTTGGTAGTACGTTTACCAGGGCGAATTCCATACATGGTGGCTCTTTAATAATACTGAACAAATTGTTGAAATATAAGGAACGTAAAGACATAGTGAGCCTCTCTGTTGAGCGTACAATTGAATTAGCATCAGTAGAGTTAGAGCAATTCATTGTAGTATGTGTATACAGACCTCCCTCATCTAACTATGATACTTTTGAAACAGTTATGGATGTAATGTTAAATAAATTGTCAAATTCTAATAAGAAAAAGATTGTGTGTGGAGACTTTAACATAAATATTTTAGAACAAAGTACTTTGAGTATGAAATTACTTAACCTTTTTACATCACACAATCTTTCCAAAATGTTTATGGAGCCAACAAGAATAACTGCCACTAGTGCCACTTGTATAGACAACATTTTTACCAACTTTACACCAATTTCTAAAAATATTATTAGTAAGATAGATTCTGATCATTGTGGTCAATTAATAAAGTTTAATATCGATAAAAATGTTGTCACAAAAAGGAAAATCTCTTTTGTGCCAGTAACTACAAACCGACTCATTCAATTGCAAAATGACCTAAGTTGTTATTTACCATTATTAAGTAATAATTTAAGTGCGAATGAGATGTATAACCAATTCTTTAAATCTTTTAGTAAACTTTACAATTCGGTATTCACTACCAAATCGGTTACAGTTTCTGATACATTGGTATTTAGTGAGTGGGCAACTGCAGAGTTATATAAAAAAAGAGAAAAATTATACGAAATGTACGCAGAAAGGCAGCATAACACTAGTGAACGGTTTAGAGACAAAGTTAAATCATTTTCCAAATTATTTAAAAAGGATTGCGAAATGGCAAAGTCTCATTATCTGAGTAACAAGATAGAAAATAGTGGTAATAAAATTAAAGCTACATGGAAAATAATTAACGAGGAAACTGGAAAGAGTAAAACTCTAAACAATAGCTTTAAATTAAATATAGATAATAAATACATTAGTTCTGACTCTGAGGTAGCCGCCGCGTTTGAAACCTTTTTTACCGACATACCAGTTTCCACTACTAGGTCTCTGAACTCTTCACCTGCCACTGCGATCAAATTATTGGAACAAAATGTGGAAGAATGCAATATTAGCTTTAAGTTCGAAAATATAAATGCACAACAAATTATAAATGTATTTAAATTACTGAATGTTAAAAAAACAAAAGATCTTTGGGGAATTTCTGTTAGCATCCTTAAACCACTTATTGATGTTGTTGCATCTGACTTAGCATTAATATTTAATAAGTGTGTAGAATCTGGTGTGTTTCCTGACTTAATGAAACTTAGTAAAATTATTCCTTTGTTTAAATCGGGTTGTACCTCTGATGCCACTAATTTTAGGCCTATTTCAATATTACCTACATTTAGTAAAATCTTTGAAAAAATAATGTTAACTCAAATTACGAAACATTTTTATAATAATGAACTATTACATGTAAAGCAATACGGTTTCACTCGCGGTCGTTCAACAGCCGATGCTGGAGTCGCGTTACTTCTAAATATATTTGAGGCCTGGGAGGAGTCACGTGATGCACTTGGCATTTTCTGTGATTTGTCCAAGGCATTTGATTGCGTTCATCATGAAACGTTGGTCAGAAAATTACACCACTACGGAATTAGAGATAAGGCTCTGGATTTACTTAGATCATATTTGAATGAAAGAATCCAGAGGGTAGATGTGAATGGAAAGCGTTCCCCTGGATCAGTTGTTGAAATGGGTGTACCACAAGGTTCAATTTTGGGTCCTTTTTTGTTCCTCATTTATATAAATGACCTACCATACCTCGTAAAGGATGACCACGGGATAGTTTTGTTTGCTGATGATACATCTTTAGTTTTTAAAGTTAACAGACGACAAGCAGTAATTGACGATGTGAACATTGCTTTATCCAAAGTGGTACAATGGTTTAATGTCAACAACCTTTTACTAAACGAGAAAAAAACAAAATGTGTAAAATTCACTTTACCAAATGTTAAAAGTGTAAAAACCAATGTACGACTGAATAATGAGGAACTAGATCTAGCTGATACCACTGTATTTCTAGGCATTACATTAGATGCCAAACTCCAATGGGGCCCTCATATTTCTCAATTATCGAATAAGCTCAGTTCTGCAGCCTACGCGGTTAAGAAAATACGTCAATTAACAAATGTAACGACAGCTAAGTTAGTATACTTTAGCTATTTTCACAGCATTATGTCATATGGTATTTTACTATGGGGTAATGCTGCTGATATTGACACAATTTTTGTGCTGCAGAAAAGGGCTGTTCGAGCTATATATAATTTAGGCCCAAGAGAATCTTTGCGGAATAAGTTTAAAGAAATTAAAATAATGACTGTACACTGCCAATACATCTATCAAAATCTAATATATGTACATAAAAATATTGATAAATTCAAGAAATATAGTGACCTGCATAATGTAAACACTAGAAACAAAAATAAGCTAGTTCAGCCCACCACTAGGCTCCATAAAATTGGTAATTCCTTTATTGGTAATAGTATTCGCTTTTACAATAAACTACCAGATGATACTTTAAAACTGTCAATAAATAAATTTAAAATTTACATTAAAAGACAATTAATAAATAAATCCTATTATAATGTAAAGGATTATTTAAGTGATAAAAAAGCTTGGGAATGAATTGCTCTTTATACTGAAGTAAGGATGTTTGTGAAACAATGATCACAATAAAAAAAAATGTTACTTGGCTGAGTTTCTTGTGGGTTCTTCTCAGACCAGGGCGCGTTACGAACCCTCGTAGCTTTAGTTTAAGTCTTCTAATTGACGTACACAAGTGATCATTGAATTGATACAATGTGTAAAAAGAAGTAAATAAATAAATAAATAAATAAGAACTATTGTGTACCCAGTACGCTGATGTATTTTATCTAGAAGGCGAACCCCTGACATTTTCAAATAAAATAAAACACTCAATTAAAACTACCGATGAAGTCCCCGTTCACACGAAAAGCTATAGATACCCATACGTTCATAGACAGGAAGTACAGGAGCAAATAGGTAAAATGCTCGATCAGGGAATAATAAGGCCCTCTAATTCGGCTTGGAGCTCACCTATTTGGGTTGTGCCAAAAAAGGTAGACGCATCTGGTAAAAGAAAATGGCGAATAGTAGTTGATTTTCGCAAATTAAACGAAAAAACAATAGATGACAAATATCCAATCCCTAACATAAATGACGTATTAGATAAATTAGGAAAATGCCAGTATTTTACAACTTTAGATTTAGCTAGCGGATTTTATCAGGTACAGACAGATCCTCAAGACATACATAAAACAGCATTTAATGTCGAGCATGGACATTATGAATTCCTTCGTATGCCCATGGGATTAAAAAATTCTCCGGCGACCTTTCAGCGAGTAATGGATGATGTGCTGAAAGGCCTACAAAACATAGTAAATTTACAAAAAGTTTTTCAGAGACTCCGCGAATCTAACTTTAAAATCCAAATGGATAAATCGGAATTTTTAAAACATGAAACAGCTTTTCTAGGCCATATTATAAGCGCGGACGGAGTAAAACCTAACCCCGAAAAAATAGCTGCAATAGAGAAATACCCCATACCAAAAACACCAAAAGAAATAAAACAATTCCTAGGCTTAGTTGGATACTATCGTAAATTTATTCCGGACTTTGCAAAACTAACAAAACCGCTTACACAATGTCTAAAAAA